ACCAATTCATTGGTGCACCAGTTCACCAACTTGCTGCACCAGTTTACCAACTTGGTGAGCCAAGTTCACCAATTCATTGGTGCACCAAGTTCACCAATTCACTGGTGCACCAGTTCACCAACTTGGTGAACCAAGTTCATTTGGAGCGAGTTGTCTGGACTGGGCGATGCTCCTTCTCCAGGCCTCTCCCCCACGACCTTGTCTTTGGCAGAGGAGGGCTTCATTGACGTCCAGAGTGCCAACTACGGACGCACGGACCGCTCCACCTGCAGTCGAGGACGCCCCTCAGACCAGGTGACCAACGACCAGTGTTACCTGCCCAGCACGCTGTCGCTCATGTCCCAGAGGTGAGATCCACAAACACTGGTGGGAAAAGATCCTTCCACTAAACCGACTGACTCCCGCCCGCTTTCCAAAGCCTAGTTCCTGCAATTCCGTTGCACCGCAGAGAGAGGTACAGTCTCAAGTTAAGATGTACAGCCTGAGAAATAGGGAGTTCTTTTTAAGGAAAGTTTGTGAGGGATGATAGCAGTTCTCTTTGAAGGATTCAAGACAGAGGACTCTCTATGAATTCCTCTGCTGCTCTACCTCAGTCACCTGTGATGTGATGTGATTTCCTGAAATTGTACATACTACAGTAAGCCAATCTTTTCCTTGAATACCTTTTTTGTCATCTCTCTCCACCACATGTCCACCAACAGCAGCCAATACCGGGTACAGTATAAGGGGATCGTTATACTATATAATATATATTATATTATTATATTATATATAATCTATAATATTATACTATACGATATGATGTTTTCTACTGTTGCTTGAAATTACAAACGACTACGATGCTGATCTTTATTATATAAAGCACTGGGTCCTCCCCAAAGTCTAAATGTAAATGTTAAGGAGTACGAGAAGAAACAAGTCAGCAGCCTTAGAAAATTAGCAGTATTTCGGGACAAATCAAGATCAAGATTTTCGAGAGCTGAGAAAATCCACTTCCGCCTTCACACACACAAACGCAAAGCAGTAACTCTAGGACGGAGAGTTTTGATCAAGTCCAAAAACTGAACGATGACCAATTATAAGCCTGGCCACCCAAAACAAAAAAAACTCGGCACCTAACCGGCGAAATGTCATCGTTAGTTTCACGACTGTGTAATTTGCAGTAACCGAGTAGATATTCGCTCAAACGCCAACATCCGACAAATATTCGCAGCAGAACCGCTATTGTTAAATGACGTATAATAATAATAATAATAATAATAATAATAATAATAATAATAATAATAATTGCTTACTCCACTCAAAGCGCTTTACAGGTAATGGGGACTCCCCTCCACCACCACCAATGTGCAGCCCCCACCTGGATCCACCTGTATAAGTTAAGAAGATGATCCAAAGACAGCAGAAAACGCTCGTCTTAATCTCTTTCCATACAACAAAGTGCTTAAACCAAGACCGTTTCTGCTAGATCTGGTACTCGTCGAGACCAGCGAACAGCAACGGTTCTCTTCACAAGACGGATCGAGGACTGTTAATACCGTTCTGTGCCGTTTGAATCCAACAGGTGCGACGGCGAACCCCGGTGTGATATCGCCGCTACGAACCACGTGTTCCCAGACCCCTGTGATGGTACTTATAAATACCTGAACGTAACGTACAGCTGCGCTCCGTCCAGTGAGTCCCTCTTCCTTGTCTCCGCCTGCTTGACGTACAGTTTGTCTGGGGTGGGGGAGGGGGGGTCTGGATGCAGCAGGAGCTGAGCCATGTTTCTCACGTGTAAGCTTTCTGCATCGACCGCGCCGATGAAAGCCCATGCATCTTCAGTGGCTTTCCAAAGTCGGGGATTCTCAGCTAAAAAAGCTCCCGGTGCTACAGATGGACGGCTTTCAATTCTGGGAAATAATTGGACGGGAACGATCCGCTCATTTGCGGCTGCAGACTTTGTCTGGATGGACTTCGGGGTTTAAGCCAGCATGGAATCGGGCGATTTTTTTGGGGGGGAGGGAGAGAGCAAATCCCACCAGAATCATTCGAATCCCGAGGATCGGTTTCGTGGGGATTGAGAGATCCAATTGGTCAATGGTGGCTCCGTGATAAACAGTTACAGTTGGTGTTACTATGGTGGCAGTAGTGATACGTATTGTTCTGGGAAAATGAGAACTGCCCATGATTCTCAGTTGGGCAGTTGTGCTACTGTGTGTCTAGAAGAGCCTCTAGTTGTGTTGCTCTATATCTAGAAGAGTGTGTCCAGTTGTGTTGCTCTATATCTAGAAGAGTCTAGTTGTGCTGCTGTGTGTCTACACAGGAAAAGGAAGCTTCAGAACCAATAGTGTTCTTTTGTGCAGTCTGTGTATATTTCCTGCATCTAACACAGTTTCTTCTTTGCCAGAGAGAAGCATATCTTGCTGGGGAACAGTCAGTCAGCTGAGCTGCGGTAAGACTGAAC